GTCCCGCTGCGCTCCGCCGCCCGCCGACATGGCCGCCGCGGCTCCCGGCCGTCACTTCCGGCCCCGCGCCGGCCGCGCGCCGCCGCTTCCGCCCGTTGCTATGGAGACGACGCGGCCACTTCCGGTTGGGGACCGACATGGCGCCCGGGGGTGCGGGGCGGTGAGCGGGAAAGGAGCCCCTGAAAATGTCAAAAATTCTCTTGTTGCCACGTGTGTTCTCCCAAGGATTATCGCATTTTCCCCAAATTAAGCGTAAATGTGTAATTTTGTTCTGGCCCAGCTGGAGTTTGGATGCCATTTCTTTCTGTATTGCCTTATTTAAGGCAAGACAGAAGTTACAGCGTCTAAAAGCACCCCAAAAATCGCTTCCTTTATTATTTCCACGTCTATTATCCCAAGGATTATCGCATTTTCCCAAAATTAAGTGTAAATATGTAACTTTGTTCTGGCCCAGCTGCATTTGGACGCACCGTGTGCCATTTTATCCCAGCGAAATACAGAAATTACAGCGTCTAAAACGACCCCAAAAATCACCCCCTTTATTATTTCCATGGGTATTATCCCATTTTCTCAAAATAAAGTGTAAATATATAATTTTGTTTTGGCCCAGCTGGAGTCTGGATGTCATTTTATCTCAGGGCAATACAGAAATTTCAGTGTCTAATTGTGAAGAATGCCAATTTTTTTTTTTTTAAGTTTAATAGTAATAAAATGGTAAAAATAACAATATAGTTAGAGTAATAAAGCTTGGACAATTTGGATTAGGACAATACAAGAAAATAAAGAGTTAGGGACAGTCCAGGTACCTTTTCCTGGGGAAAATAAGCCCAAAAAAGGAGCCACGTTAACAGAGGATTAACCCTTTAAAGCAACAGCCTGTTCATGTTCACACAGCTCATCCACGATGCACAAATTCCATTGGAACACTGGATTCTGTCTGGGCAGTGTCAGCTTCTTCCTCTGAATCCTGGCCTGAGGCAGGAAGAACTTCATTTCTTCTGATAATGGAGCAATAAATTCTTTTTCTCTGAAAGATTTAGGTGTCCTGTGGCTGCTGTCTGGTGCAAGTACCTCATTCCTCTCTTTAAAAAAGTATCTTACATAGCAGAGTTTCTATTTTAACATTATGTCATAACCTAAAACTATATTTAACACGCTACTTCAAAAAAATTAATACAGCATAACTTTCTCACATAACACGTATCTGCAAAAAGCCAATCATAAAATAGGCATTTTTCACAGAAACCACTTGAATATTTGCGAAAAGCCAATATTATAACACGTATCTGTAACACGAGCGAACGGCTGGAGCTGCGTCAGCGAGGATTATGTCGGATTATCAGTAAATATTCTTCCCCCAGAGGGTGATGGCACTGCCAGAGCTCCAGAAGCGTTTGGAAAACGCCCTCAGGGTGGGGTTTTTGGGGTGCCAGTGCAGGACTAGGGATAAAAAAATGAAATTAATAATCTTCGTAATTCCCTCACAGCCTAGAACATTCCACAAGCCCCGTCCCCTCATAGACGGGGCAGGAACTGCGCATGCGCGGCCGGCTGAGGGCAAGCCCCGCTCTCTGCGTTTGCGCACGGCCCTTCGGCAGAGCCCGCTGAGGGCAAGCCCCGCCCCCTCCGTTTGCGCACGGCCCCTGGGCAGAGCCCGCTGAGGGCAAGCCCCGCCCCCTCCGTTTGCGCACGGCCCCTCGGCAGAGCCCTCTGAGGGCAAGCCCCGCCCCCTCCGTTTGCGCACGGCCCCTGGGCAGAGCCCTCTGAGGGCGAGGGCGGGAAAAGGCGCCCTGAGGGTGAGGGCGGGCGTTTCTTTCAATTCCCTCGCTTCATCTCCATCTCCCTTCTCTTTCCTCACATTCTCCTGCAGTTTTCCCTCGATCATCTCACACCTCACCTCCGGGTTTTGTTGCCCGCCGCCCCGCGCTGCTGTGCGGTGTTGTGTCTTCGCGCGTTCATCCTCCGCCTGCCTCAGTTTCCCTTGAGGAAGCAGGTGGTGGTTTCTGGGCTGAGGCTGATGGGGGGGCGGCTCCTTCCTCACAGCGGGGCCTAACTCGGCCGGGTGTTGTCATCGGGGGGTTGCTGAGAGGAGCTCGGTGCCCTGTGGTGATCCAGACCTCATTTCTAACTTGGGGAAGGTGTTTTCCTCAAGTGTGGGTGCATTTGTTACTCCTGAGCTGGGGGGAAGGTTTGTGTGGAGTCAGGCTCAGGGTGGTGAGGGTTCTGTTTCTCCCATACTCATTGAAATTAGAGAAGAAAACAGTCTGGGGGTGTTTGAAATGTGGGGAGCATTTTCATGAAAATCCTGTAGGTTGTGCCTTTGGGGTTCATATTTCGTAGTACAAATGTTCTAATTGTTGCATCCTGTAGCCTCAGGGGAGGCCTGTGCTGCTGTGAAAATCAAGAATCTGATACTGGGGATGATTAGAGGAGCCATCCTGCTCCGTTTCCTGAAAAATACAGGTTTGTTTGAGCTGCTGAATTGAGCAGGAGGTGTTTGTAAATCCAGGGAATGCAGCCTTTTTCCTTCTCCAGGTGCTAATGCAGGTGTTTCATTGACAGCACGGGAGTCTCTGCAGAATGGCAACTGCTCAGAAGCAAAGGAATTCTGTGGTACGGTTTTGTTTGTGTATTTCAGCACAATAATAATGGGGAAAATGGGGGAGTTTTGGCTGGAATAGTGCACCCAGGTGATATTTATTAATGTGAAAATAGCAGGGTAGTCCAGTATTTTAATTATTAATAAAGAATGTCTAGAAAAAATTATAGAAAAAATTATAGAAAAAGAATCTGAACTTTGTTGTCGTAGAAACCAGCTGTGCCCTCCAAATGCTGTAACACCAAGTGTAGGGAATGTGCTTAGCTCTACAAATCCCAAAAACTGATTGGTTTCTTGCTGTGATTTTCAGGGTGCAGTTGTATTTCCCAAGAAAATAGCCACGGAGCAGCAATCCCTGATGCTGGTGAAGAGGCTCCTGGCAGTGGCAGTGTCCTGCATCACTTACCTGAGGGGAATCTTCCCTGAAAGTGCCTATGGAACCAGATACATGGATGGTAAGGGGCTGTTGCCATGGTGATTTGGAAAAACTGTTGTCATGGGGTTGTTTTTAAAGCCACTTGGTGCATATAAATATTAACAAATTAAATTTTGTTGTTGCTGCTGCTAACTCAGCATTAAAGCTATGCTCACACTTGACAGCAATGTTAATTTTAGTCTCTTCTTCATATGTGCTTTTAGGCAATGAACTTTTAGTTGCACTTTGCCCTAAATAAATGTGGTTTTTTTGGGTTTTTTTTTGAGATGTTTGTGTCAAAATTCTGCGGGAAGACAAAAACTCTCCTGGCTCTACCCAGCTGGTGAAGTGGTAGGTTGATTCCAGCAGGCAGGTAACATCTAAGTGCTCAAAGGTCCCTCCTGGCTGTTTGCAGATCAAGGCAAAAAGTTCTCTCCCACATTTGTGTCCCAGCTGTGCCAATGGTGTTTTCAGCTCAGGAGAGCACAAATCTCTGTTTGCAGAGTGACTGTTCTTTATATTTACTAATTAAATACCAAACATCCAACACTATGGATTTGTATGCTTCATCCCTCTGGCTGCTCATGAGCTCTCGAGGGTGCCCAGAAATGCAAACCTCTAAAAGCTGATCAGGAGCCTCAAAGCCACCATTTTGCACCTTCAATTGAAAGATCTCTCTCAGGTTTTGTGAGAGTGGCACTGTCAGACTTGTTCAGAGCCTGCTGGAGCACTGCCACAGCTGGCTGGCATTGCAGCTGCTGCTCCTGCTTTTCCTCCTGCTCACAGCAGCTCTGAGTTCTGCTCCAGGTGCTCTCCTTGCTTTTTGGGAACCTCTCTGCCTTGCTTACGTCTCCCTGTATTCTGTCACCCCCAAAAAGGCTCTTTTCCCCCTTTCCCCAAAGGCGTGGGAGGGATGCTGCACTCACCCCCTGGCATGCTGAGGGGTTTGCATTTTGGGACAGGGAAATCTGAGATATTCCACGTGTGGGGTGAAGCTTCACAGCAGATTTACTCATCAGAAAATACCCCAAAAACCCGAGCTAAATGAAAGCTGCACTCAGCAAAGCTTGAGGGCTCAGAGTCGATGCTGAAGGTGATTCAGCCACGAGCTGTCACAAAGGGAGGGAGGGGAAAGCTGGGGTTTGCTGATGGATCTTCCCTGGGGAGGCTGAGCTGCACAGGCTCCCTGCTTTGGGGGAGCTGTGCACCTCTGGGCACTGGCCTTTCCTTCACACCAAACAGTTTCTGTTTGCTGGCTGTAAGTGAAAGGAAAATACAGGGCAAGAAAGAATTGAAAGGAAAAATTGAAAAAAAAGGGGGAGTTTTCATTTCCTGATTGGGTGTTGTATAAAAGGAAATAACATCTAAATAAAAGTTAAAATTCCTTTGTGCTTCAGCAGCTGTTCAGCTGAATTACTGATTTATGATAAAATCATGGGATGGTTTGGGGTGGAAGGGACCTTGGAGCTCACCTTCCTCACCCCTCTGCCATGGACACCTGCAATTACACCAAGCTGCTGCCCTGATTAATTAATACCTGTGTTGGAAGGTGTTTGAAGAATTACAATATGTATTTACTGATAAATTATTTACCTCCAGATTATGTTTTTCATTGATTTCCCTCCAGATTATATTTTTAATTGATTTACCTCTGGCTTATATTTTTAATTTATTTACCTCCAGCTTATATTTTTAATTGATTTACCTTCAGATTATATTTTTAATTGATTTACCTCCATCTTATATTTTTAATTTATTTCCCTCCATCTTACATTTTTAATTGATTTCCCTCCATCTTATATTTTTAATTGATTTCCCTCCAGATTGTATTTTTGATTGCTTTACCTCCAGATTGTATTTTAATTATTCTTTCAAGAGGTTGGGATGATTTGGTGTTACAAAGCTTGTATCACTTCTAATAAGATAGAATTCTAATACAGTAAAAGTAAACAGAAAAGTTTCATTTTTTTGGTGCTGTTAGTGAGAAACAAGTGACAATTAGCAGTAGCTGGCCAATGTTGTTTGGTTTTTGCAGGATGTTAGGATGCTATGATGCCTTGCAGAAGAAATACGTAAGTGCTCCAGTCTCCTTTCAGCTGTGTGGAAAGGTTGGTTTCAGTGCAGCTGCAGGGCTGCTCAGGGAGAGGCACGGCTCACTCAGCTGCACTGGGGGAATTTCTGCATCAAGCTCTTGCAAACAGCAGCTCAGAAAGCCAGAGAGATCTGTGGGTGTTTCCTCCTGCAGCTGAATCCTCCTCCACAGGAGAGGAGTGAAGAGGAAGAAGTTTTTCTTCCAACAGGCCTTGGTTGCCTGTGTTGGATTCCAGAGTTAGAGAAAAGCAGCTTGGGCAGCACAAATGGGTGATTAAATATATTTAATGATCTTTTTTTGTTGTTTTTTTTTTTTTTTTTTTTTTTTTTCTTTTTTTATTTTCCTCCAAGCGGAAGAAAATTAGGCCTTGGTTGCCTGTGTTGGATTCCAGAGTTAGAGGAAAGCAGCTTGGGCAGCACAAATGGGCGATTAAATATATTTAATATTCTTTTTTTGTTGTTTTTTTTTCTCTCTGTTATGTTCCTGACAGCTGAGACAGATTGTCCTGGCAGTGAGTATCTCTGAAAGGCAGGGACTTGTTTTTAGGGGACATTCTTTGAGGGATGTGCAGTTCTCATTGTGGTTCCTCTATTTTCTTTAAAAACACAGGTTTATACCCAGACAGAAGATCCTCAGGTAAATCTGCTGGAAATCTCACTGATAATATGAGTTTAATGAAATGTGGGTACAAGCAGGAAGATTTAACATGCACATTTATTAAAAAGGGGCATTTTCAAATAGCAGCTGTTAAAATGTCTGGGGTCAGTGGCAATTGCACCGTGGAATTGCATTTGAGTATTCTCAGGCTGTGCAAGAAACCAAAATGTCATTGCAGGGTGAGCTGTCCCATCCTGACTCTGCCTGGCGAGTCTGTGGGACTTGTGTGCAAAACACAAAACCCACCACATCTATTCCACGTGTGAAACAGTTTCATGGAATGTTTTATGCTAAGGACTTCAGCTGATTTTCAAAATATTTCATCATGGTGATTCCTGGAAAAGAATCATCATTTTTAGGATGTTTTAAACAGTTTTATGCATTTTTGCTGTTAATTGTTAGAGGATTAGGAGCACGTGTAAGTGGATGGCAGTTGGGCTGTGGTTATTCCTTTAGAGGTTGATAGGTTACTGAGCAGAGCTGCAGCAGGAGTTTAGGGTTAGTTTAATAATTACTGGTTTTGTTTGCAGACAGTCACAGAGTGTTACCACTTCAAGTTCAAGTACACCCACAATGGGCCACTCCTGGATTTTGGCAGGTACAGCCCTGGGACTGCTCCATGTGCTTGAAACAGCTCGGTGTCACAACTCTGCATCTGACCTTTTCCTTTTCTTCAGACTGATTCTATCAACACAATCACTAAAACACAATTAATCCCTTTGGTTGTGCCCATAACTTTAACATCCCCTTGGACACAGCTCGGTGTCACAACTCTGCATCTGACCTTTTCCTTTTCTTCAGACTGATTCTATCCACACACACACTAAAACACAGTTAATCCCTTTGGTTGTGCCCATAACTTTAACATCCCCTTGGACACAGCTCGGTGTCACAACTCTGCATCTGAGCTCTTTCCTTTTCTTCAGACTGATTCTATCAACACACTAAAACACAGTTAATCCCTTTGTTGTGCCCATAACTTTACCATCCCCTCAGAAGGTGATGCTGAGTCCGTCAGAACTCACGTGGCTGCTGTGTTTGTAGCAAGGACAGGAAGTCAGAGAGCCCCATCAGCTGTGCAGACACCAAGAAGGCCAGCATCCTCCTGATCCGCAAGATCTACATCCTGATGCAGAACCTCAGCCCCCTGCCCAGCGACGTCTGCCTCACCATGAAGCTCCTCTACTACGATGAGGGTACTGCCAGCTCAGCCTCGTTTGTCAGGCTCTGCAGAGCAAGACAAAAATGGGCGTTTTTCAGTTTTCCAGGGGATAATCTTTGTGGCTGCTGGGATTGGTTAAGCGAGGTAGTTTCACGTGTGGCTGTGTCACAGGCATATCTTATAAAAAATCCTTTTGCCAGGATCTTTGACATGGTTGAGCAGGATAATTGATCTTAAATTAATTTTTTCCTTAATTTTCCTGCTCCACTTTGCAGCCTGTCACTGCTCAGGCAGTGCCTGTGCACAGGAGCAGCAGAGGGACAGATGGAACCTCCTCCTCCCTTGTCACAATCACTTATTTCAGTTTATTCCACCACAAATCCATTTTAAAAATGAGTACTTAATCATCAGAGTGGGAACTTCCATTCTTGTGGAATTGCCTTCATTCAGTGACACACCTGTTTCTTCATCCAGGAGGATCCTGTCTTGGGTAATGAAGTGCAAGACAAGAATCGTGTGAATATTTCAGAAGCTCAAGGTAATATTTATATATATTGCATTATAATTTCAATATTATAATGTTTATATTATAGTTTTTATTATATAATAATCTGTATACAAAAACTACCCAGTGCAAATCTCCAATCACCCAGTGCAAAACAACAACTAAATAAACTATTTAATGCAATACAACACCAATCTTTAATTATATTATATTTTATGTTATAATTTTATTATATTATAATTTTTGTATTATATTATCTGTTATATTTTTCAAACCCCTCAAATATCTATATTCAAATTTTTATTTTTTTCTCCCCATCTATGACTGTGCCTTTATTTTTTATCAGGGCTTCATTCTGTGAAACACTTGGTTAACAAAATTAACATGTTGAAACATGATTAACATATTTTCATGGTACTGTTCAATATTCTGATCTTCTGTTCCATTTCATCAGCTAAGCTAAGCTGAATAGGGTTTATATTTAGAAATAAACTTCATTTGCTTTCTCTACTCTTTTTGTTATTAATAATTACTGATTTATTTAATTTTTAATCATATTTATTTGCACATTAAGCTCGGGGAGGTTTTGTCCTGTTGAGCTCATTTTTGCAGACTTGGAAACAAAATTCTCTTTGCAAAAACCACTTTGGCTCTTTTTTTTTTGTAGTTTTTTTTCTTTAAATTTCAGTTTTCTGAGCTTCAACTCAATTCAGAGTTGAATTCCCATTCAACTCTGAACCCATTAACTCAACCCCATTCAACCATGGGGTTCTGGGTTAAAAAATCCCATTTTTAGCCCAGAACCCCACACCTTCATCCAGAGGGAGCTGCTCCCAGAGCTGGCACTGTTGTGTTCTTTGTGAGGGACCTGACTCCACTTTTCTTAGAAGGCTGATTTATTTTATTAAAATGATACATTACAACTGTACTAAACTATAGAAAGATACATCAGAAAGCTAGAAAAGAATGGATAATAAAATTTTGTGACAGATGAGAGTCTGACACAGCTGGGCTGGGATTGGTCATGAAGTAAAAACAATTCACATGGAACCACTCAAAGCTGCACCTGCCACGTTCCAAAGCACAAAACACAGGGAGAAGCCATCAGATGTTTTATTTTCCCTTGAGGCTTCTCATCTTCTCAGGAGAAGAAATCCTGGTGAAGATACTTTTCATAAAATACCATAATAACAAATAACCTCACCAGAGTGTGTTCTGTTTCATGAACCATTCTGTGTTTGGCTCTGCTGCTTCCTGTGAGTGCCTTTTCCAGCTGAGGGTGCTCTGGGGACCTGCTGCCCTTTCCCTGGGTGCTGCAGCACCTTGAGAATGGCAGGTGAATGTTTTGGGATAGAATCCCTGCTGCCCTTTCCCTGCAGCACCTTGAGAATGGCAGGTGAATGTTTTGGGACAGAATCCCTGCTGCCCTCTCCCTGCAGCACCTTGAGAGTGGCAGGTGAATGTTTTGGGACAGAATCCCTGCTGCCCTCTCCCTGCAGCTCTTTGAGAGTGGCAGGTGAATGTTTTGGGACAGAATCCCTGCTGCCCTCTCCCTGCAGCACCTTGAGAAGGAGTTAGATCCTCACCCCCCAGTTCAGGTGCAAGGGGATTTTTGGGCAGTGCTCTCACAGAGCCATGGAATGGTTTGGGTTGAAATAGATTTTAAAACTCCTCCAGTGCCATGGCAGGGACACCTTCCACCATCCCAGCCCTGTCCAGCCCGGCCCTGGGCACTCCCAGGGGCTGCTCTGGTACCTGTGCCAGGGCCTCACCCTCCCAGGGAACAATTCCTTCCCAAAATCCATCAGGGTGAAGCATTCCCTGTGCCCTGTCCCTGCAGGCCTTGCCCAAAGCCCCTCTCCAGCTCTCCTGGAGCCCCTTGAGGTACTGGGAGAGGCTCTGAGCTCTCCTTGGAGCTTCTCCTCTGCAGGATGAACAACCCAACTCTCAGCATTTCCTTGGAGAGGAACTTTAACAAGTACAAGTTCTAGCAAAGCATTTTTGTTAGGATGAATCACACAGAAATGAGTTTCCTCAAGTGTTTTTGCTAAGACTGTAAATAAAATCTGTCAGTAAATAACTGTCCTGGCTCCTCCAGCCCTGGAAGATCCCCACTGCTGGCTTTTAATCACAGCTCCAAAATGTGCACCCAGCCTGACTCCAGCTCAAAACATGAGACACCAAATTGTCCTCAGGGATCTCAGGAGCTTCCTTTTCAGATTTGAGATAAAGCAGAGGATGGTTTGTGTTCACATTTCCCACTTTAGCCCTGAGGACTGAACTTTGCTGCCAAACAAACTGAAGGAGGAACTGCTGCTTGTTGATCTGCTCCTCTTGGAGAGGCTGCACAGAAGCATCCAGACAATCTGGAACCCATTTTCTGTACAGGAATGTTGGGTTTGGGGTTTTTTTGAGAAGAAACACATGCAGCTTTGCCAAACCAGCTGCCATTTCCATGCTGTTCAAAAATAATGGTGGAAATGTGTAGGAAACAGCACGTGCAGATCAGAATTTTTGTCTTGACAATGCTAGTAGGCTGCAGAACTGGAATAACCACATGAAGGTGTGCCTGATTCTTCTAAAAAGTCATAAAAAATGCAGGAAAATTTCTTGTCCTGGGGAGTTGGCAAATGTTTTATTTACAGGAGCTACAAGGCACAATTTGTCAGCCTGGAATTCTTCTGCTGTTTTCACAGCTGAAGCACAGTCACCCATTCACCATCCCATCCTTCTGTCTGTATCCTGGAAAAACAGCCTGAATTAGGAACAGCAAAAACCTGCCTGGAGCTGCCTGTTCCCCCTGAGGAACCCCCGAGGGTCTGCTCCTGCAGCTGCAGGCAGTGAGGGGGCTCTGCAGCTGGGGGTGCTGCTTGGCTGGGCTGCTGGGGCAGGAGCTGGCCCAGAGTGGCCTTTTCCCTGTCCTGCAGCACCAAACAGGCTCCTGAGGCTTCAGATTGAAACAAATCCCCTCAGCAGGGCAGGGTGTGAGGGAGCTGGGGGCTCAGAGTGGCACAGAACAGGCTCCTGAGGCTTCAGATTGGAACAAATCCCCTCAGCAGGGCAGAGTGTGAGGGAGCTGGCTGAGAGTGGCCTTTTCTCTGTCCTGCAGCACAAAACAGGCTCCTGAGGCTTCAGGATTGGACTCAAATCCTCTCAGCAGGGCAGAGTGTGAGGGAATTGGCCCAGAGTGGCACCAAACAGGCTCCTGAGGCTTCAGGATTGAGCGAAATCCCCTCAGCAGGGCAGAGTTTGAAGGAGCTGGCCCAGAGTGGCCTTTTCCCTGAGAGTGGCACAGAACAGGCTCCTGAGGCTTCAGGATTGAGTGAAATCCCTTCAGCAGAGCAGGGTGTGAGGGAATTGGCCCACAGTGACACAGAACAGGCTCCTGAGGCTTCAGGATTGAAACAAATCCCTTCAGCAGGGCAGGGTGTGAGGGAATTGGCCCACAGTGACACAGAACAGGCTCCTGAGGCTTCAGGGTTGAATTAAATCCCTTCTGCAGGGCAGGGTGTGAGGGAGCTGGCCCAGAGTGGCCTTTTCCCTGTCCTGCAGCTCCAAACAGGCTCCTGAAGTTGCAGATTTTAATCAAATCCTCTCAGCAGGGCAGGGTGTGAGGGAGCTGGGGATCAAACCCACTCCTCCAGAGATGCTGGGTGTAAGCTGCTCCTGCAGTGGGCTGGAGGTTGGGGCAGGAAGTGGCTGAGTTAAAGAATAAATTCCAAGCTTGATGGAGATCAGGCTGTGCTCTGGAGGCAGCTGTTCCCAGCAGTTCTGAATTGTTCCTGGAGCAGAGCTCTGGCTTGTTGGTGTGTGAACACCTTTATTTAACTCTCCAATTGTTCTTTCAGGAAAGAACTCAGCTCCTGAAGGGGAAGCTGGAGGGATCCAGACTCCCCCCCGTGTTTCTAACACTCAGGTAGGAACACTCTGCTCTGTCACCTTCAGCTTTTTCTGGAGCTTCTGCAGTTCCTTCCCTCCTTTGGCTAATCTGCTGAAAACTTATTTCCCACAGTTTCCAGCAACAAAAATTCCTTTACGTTTCACTTCCTGGTGTTTTCCAAAACTGTTGTAAAGCACTGACAAAAGGCTGTTCCTCTGAAATGCAGCTCTCAAAACAAACAGATGCTGGGACTGTTTCTGAGTGAAATGTAATTTCCATGTTAATAAACTGCCTAGTGGGAATTCCACTGCTAATTCTGACAAACCAAAGCTTGTTTAAAACTTGATTCAAACTTCAAAATTCAGCTTTGTAACTCAGGTTATATTCCCTGCATGTAGAAGTTGGTGGCATTTATACATGGAGGACTGCTTCACACAGGTCCTTAAGATTTCTTAGAACAGGATAGCTGTAGGTAAGTGTCAGTGACCTCCTGTACCAAACCAGCACAAGCTTCTCTCTGCCAGGGCCCTGCAGCACACCCAGCTGTAAAAGCTGTGATTTCACCATTTAAATGCCCCCAGATTTCAGTTTTAACTGTGCAGAGCAGTGATGCCCCAGCACTGAGCCCTGCTGGCTGTCTCCAGTTTTTTTCCTGCTGTAACAGTGCAAAAATCTATTTTCTGATTCCAGGTTGATCACTTGACTCGTAAAACATCTGAGCTGATTGTGTCAGAGAGCAGGACAAGAAGTGGAAAGATATTCCAGAGCTGCATTGTTAGTATCAGTTTTTCTTTAGTTCTCATCATTTCTGTTGCAAACAGTGAATAAAACTCAGAGCTTGCATTTGCTATTGACAGAATGAAATCCTCATCACTTCCTAAATTCCCATTCAATTGAACACTGTCAAAAAGAATTCTGTCCAAAGAGTTGGAAGCTGATTTGATGCAGGTAACACAGGTTGAGGAAGATTCCTTAGTTTTAGTTGATATTTAGCCAAATTTCCTGCTGGTTTCACCCATCAGCCAGGGGAGTTTGTGGCAGCAGAGATCCCCAGCACAGCTCACCCAGTGCTTCCTTTGCTTCCACTTGGGAAACACTTTGCCAAAATTATAATTTCACCTCTGTGACTGCTTCATTGCAAGAAAAATCCCTTTTTGGACTTAAATCAGGTCAGTCTGGCAGGCAGTGCTGCTTGTGGGGACCCAAAGCCTTCACAGCTGGGGCAGAGTTTTGTGTCCAGGCTGGAGTTTGACCTGTGGGCCCCATTTCTGTGCTGCTCCTTCCCTGCCTGAGCTTGGCAGCTCTGGGAGCTTTGGGAGCCTTCACCAGGTATTTGGAATATTGGCAATGCTGAGTGAGGGGCAGATCCTTCTCCAGAACCCCTGGGGTGAATTTTTCTCTCTTCTCTTAGGCAAGAAATTGTTCCCTGTGAGGGATGGAATTCCCAGAGCAGCTGTGGCTGCCCCTGCATCCCTGGAAGTGTCCCAGGCCAGCTGGGGACACCCTGGGACAGTGAAGGTGTCCCTCTGGCTGAGCTCTGAGGTCCCTCCCTGCTTCCAACCAGTCACATTCTGTGCTTCTTCTTACTCAGTGATGTGACAAAAAAATTTAAAAAAAGAGGAGGTTGTTCTGTTTGCTCACCATCCCTGTGTATTTTTCAAAGAGATTTTACTGAACTTAATAATAAATTTATTCAACAAAACACAACTGCTTTGAATAATCAAAATTACAGTGGAGCTGAAGGTTCATTGCCATCTCTTCAAGGGAGAGTCAGAAGCAGCAGGACTGAGCTCTCAGGGGGTTGTAGGGTGCAGAGCTGGAGTCATGGAATGTTTGGATTTTTAGGGACCTTAAAGCCTGCCCAGGGTCACCTTCCACCACCCCAGGCTGCTCCCAGCCCCTTCCAGCCTGGCCTGGAGCACTTCCAGGGATCCAGGGGCATCCAGGGAATCACCCGTGCCAGGGCCTGCCCGGCTCACAGGGAGGGATTTCTGTCTCCCACAACTCCAACCCAAATTTCCCCTTTTTGAGTCTGAACCTCCCCACCTCACAGGGAACAATTTCTCCCATATCTCCCACCTCAACTTCCCCTTTTTGAGTCTGAACCTTCCCACCTGACAGGGAAGGATTTTCCCATATCTCCAACCCAAATTTCCCCTTTTTGAGTCTGAACTTCCCCACCTCACAGGGAACAATTTCTCCCATATCTCCCACCTCAACTTCCCCTTTTTGAGTCTGAACCTTCCCACCTGACAGGGAAGGATTTTCCCCTTATTTCCAACCCCAATTTCCCCCTTTTCAGCCTGAACCTCCCCACCTGACAGGGAAGGATTTCTCCCATATTTCCAACCCCAATTTCCCCCTTTTCAGCCTGAACCTTCCCACCTGACAGCGAAGGATTTCTCCCATATTTCCAACCCCAATTTCCCCCTTTTCAGTCTGAACCTCCCCACCTGACAGGGAACAATTTCTCCCATATTTCCAATCCCAATTTCCCCCTTTTCAGCCTGAACCTCCCCCCCTGACAGGGAAGGATTTCTCCCATATTTCCAATCCTAATTTCCCCCTTTTCAGCCTGAACCCAGCCCTCCCTGTCCTGTGCTGCAGTTCCTGCTGGACACAGCTCCTTGATGCAGCTGTGGCAGCAGGAAAACAAACATGCCAGCCTTCCTCAGCGGGCCACTTCTGCCAGGAAATAGCATCCAGATGTTCCTGCAGGCCCAGCACATCTGGGCCCTGGCTGGTCACACCTCTGTCCTGCTGAGGCCGTGCTGAGCCCTGTCCTGCCCCCACGGAGCTGCTGCAATTCCATGTCTTGGTTTTCCTTGGCAGGTGCACCAGGCTGAGCTCTCCTCCAGCCAGGAGGTGCTGCCCAAGAGGAGGAAGCTCAGCGAGCCCAAGGAGCAGTTCTAGTTGCCCAAAAGAAGCTCAACAAGCCCAAGGAGCAGTTTTAGTTGCCCAAAAGAAGTAGTTCAGCGAGCCCAAGGAGCAGTTTTAATTGCCCAAAAGGGTGAAACTCAGCGAGCCCAAGGAGCAGTTTAGTTGCCCAAAAGGAGCTTAACAAGCCCCAGGAGCAGTTTTAGTTGCCCAAATGGGTGAAACTCAGCGAGCCCAAGGAGCAGTTTTAGTTGCCCAGAAGAAGCTCAACAAGCCCCAGGAGCAGTTTTAGTTGCCAAAAGAAGCCCAGCCAGCCCAAGGAATCCTTCTAGTTGCCCAAAAGGAGCTCAACAAGCCCAAGGAGCAGTTTTAGTTGTCCAAAGGGAGGAAGCTCAACAGGAACAAGGAATCCTTCTAGTTGCCAAGAAGAAGGAAGCTCAGCATGCCCAAGGAGAAGTTTTAGTTGCAGTTCAACAAGCCCAAGGAATGGTTTTATTTGCCCAAAAGGATGAATCTCAACAAGCCCCAGGAGCAATTTGAGTTGCCCAAAAGGATGAAGCTCAGTGAGCCCAAGGAGCAGTTTTAGTTGCAGTTCAACCAGCCCAAGGAGCAGTTTTGGTTGCCCAAAAGAAGAGCTCAACCAGCCCAAGGAATCCTTTTAGTTGCCTAAAAGGAGGAAGCTCAGCAAGAACAAGGAGCAGCTTTATTTGCCCAAAAGAATCTCAGCGAGCCCAAGGAGCAGTTTTAGTTGCAGTTCAACAAGTCCCAGGAGGAGTTTTATTTGCCCAGAAGGAGAAGCTCACTGAGTCCAAGGAATCCTTTTAGTTGCCCAAAAGAAGCTCAACATGCCCAAGGAGCAGTTTTAGTTGCCCAAATGGGTGAAGCTCAGTGAGCCCCAGGAGCAGTTTTAATTGCCCAAAAGGGTGAAACTCAGCGAGCCCAAAGAGCAGTTTTAGTTGCCCAGAAGAAGCTCAACCAGCCCCAGGAGCAGTTTTAGTTCCCTAAAAGGAGGAAGCTCAACAGGAACAAGGAATCCTTCTAGTTGCCAAGAAGAAGGAAGCTCAGCATGCCCAAGGAGAAGTTTTAGTTGCAGTTCAACAAGCCCAAGGAATGGTTTTATTTGCCCAAAAGGATGAATCTCAACAAGCCCAAGGAGCAGTTTTGGTTGCCCAAAAGAAGAAGCTCAACAAGCCCCACAGTTGCCCAAAAGGATGAAGCTCAGTGAGCCCAAGGAGCAGTTTTAGATGCAGTTCAACAAGCCCAAGGAGCAGTTTTGGTTGCCCAAAAGAAGAGCTCAACCAGCCCAAGGAATCCTTTTAGTTGCCTAAAAGGAGGAAGCTCAACAAGAACAAGGAGCAGCTTTATTTGCCCAAAAGAATCTCAGCGAGCCCAAGGAGCAGTTTTAGTTGCAGTTCAACAAGTCCCAGGAGGAGTTTTATTTGCCCAGAAGGAGAAGCTCACTGAGTCCAAGGAATCCTTTTAGTTGCCCAAAAGAAGCTCAACATGCCCAAGGAGCAGTTTTAGTTGCCCAAAGGAATCTCAACCAGCCCAAGGAGCAGTTGCCCAAAAGAAGAAGCTCAGCAAGCCCAAGGAATCCTTTTAATTGCCCAAAAGGATGAAACACAACCAGCCCCAGGAGCAGTTTAGTTGCCAAAAGAAGCTCAACAAGCCCCAGGAGCAGTTTTGGTTGCCCAAAAGAAGGAATCTCAGCCAGCCCCAGGAACAATTTTATTTGCCCAAAAGGAGGAATCTCAGCCAGCCCCAGGAACAATTTTATTTGCCCAAAAGGAGGAATCTCAACCAGCCCCAGGAGTAGTTTTGGTTGCCCAAAAGGAGGAATCTCAACCAGCCCCAGGAGTAGTTTTGGTTGCCCAAAAGGAGGAATCTCAACCAGCCCCAGGAGCAGTTTTGGTTGCCCATCTCCAGTTCTCCTCTCCAGTTTGGTTGTCCACGTTGGCTTTTCAGGTCTCTGCTCCATTTGCAGTCCCGTGTGTTTCGGGGAAGGAAAGCTCAGGAAGCCCAGCTGAGGAATTCCAGACTCGTGTTGTGCAGGAGCAGCAATCCTTGGCTCTGGGTTGTGGGGTGGCTCCAGGTGCTGGTGGTGATGGAGGAAGCTCACCTGTGCCTCTGGTTCTGAGCTGAGGCCTGCCTGCCCCAAAACCTCCCCAATTTTGGGGTGATTTCCCGAGTTTCCACAGGGCTGCGCTGCCAGTTGTTCTGTTGCGGTTTTTAGGTGACAGGTTTTGTTTTTCCTGCGGGGACATTTGCAGGAGCTGGATGCTTTGCATTTCTTCCAGACCAGAAGCACCACCGAGCCCTCTTCGTGCCTTAAATTCCAGACTCCCTGCCAGGAATGTCGGTGTCCGTGCCGGAATTCCGGGAGCCTGGCTGTCCCCGGAGCGATTTTTGGAGGGGTGGGACACGGGGCCGAGCGCTGCTGCCCCCAGACCTTGTCGGGAACGGGAGTGAAGCCGCTCCCGCCGCCGGGGCGGGGGCAGCGGAGCGTTCCCCGCCCGTGGCTCTCCGTAACGGTGCTGCTCGGCCTCGGTGCTCCATTAAACGGCGTTCAGCTTGGGCCGCGTGTTCCGTTACCGGCGGGGCGGGAGCGGCGGGAGCGGGACGGACACGGGACACGGGAATGGGAACGGAACGGGACACGGGAATGGGATGGGAGAGGGGAACGGGACACGGGACAGTACCGGAACGGGATGGGAGAGCAGGACGGGACTGGAGCGGGAACGGGAACGGGAATGGGATGGGAATGGGATGGGAGAGCGGGACGGGACTGGAGCGGGACGGGACACGGGAATGGGATGGGAGAGGGGAACGGGACAAGAACGGGATGGGACACGGGAACGGGACTGGAACGGAATGGGATGGGAGAGGGGGACGGGACTGGAACGGGACACGGGAATGGGATGGGAGAGGGGGACGGGACACGGGACAGGACTGGAGCGGAATGGGACACGGGAATGGGATGGGATACGGGACGGGACACGGAATGGCGAACGGGACAGGACACGGAACGGGACACGGGACGGGAGTGGAGCGGGGCTGTGGCACGGGCTGTGGGGCTGTGGCACGGGACAGGACACACAGGGTGGGAGTGGAGCGGGGCTGTGGGGCTGTGGCACGGGACAGGAACGGCAACGGGAGCCGGACACGACACGCGGGCGGAGGCGGAGCCACCCCTGACTGACAGCAGAAACTCCCGCCCCTCGACCCAGCCGCGCCGCTCTCATTGGCTGCTCCGACGCGCGCGGGCTGCCATTGGTCGTAGCCGCGGCGTGGGCGGGACCAGCGGAGCCAGGAAGCGGCGGCGGCGGCGCGGAGGCTTTTCCTGCCCGCGGCCCCGAGCGGAGCGGAACGGAACGGGGCGGAACGGAACGGACCCGCCGGGCCGCGGTGAGAGCGGGCAGCGGGCGGGGGGCCCTGGCAGCCCCCAACCCTCGTGAGGGGGGCGGATCTTCACCCGCGGGGCGCTGCGGCGGCGGGCGGGATGGAGCCGGGCCGGGGCCGGGGCCGTGAGGGGTGAGGCAGGGCCGGGCCGGGGCCGTGACAGGGGCGGTGGGATGGGGCCGGCCCGGGACGCTGCCGGGGGTGCGGGACCCACCCGTGCGGCCTCGGGGGTCCCCACGCGGAACGGGGGGTGCGACAGAGCCAGCGTCGTGAGGGAGGACGGGGACCCCCGAGACCCCCGGGAGCGGGGAGCTCGAGTGCTGCGGGGAAGGGACCAGCGGGCCTGGGTCTGGGGGTGAGGGCCTGGAGAATGGGGTTTGGGTCTGAGGAGAGTGTCTGGAGAATGGGGTTTGGATCTGGGGAGAGGGTCTGGGTTTGAGGGAGGGGTTTGGGTCTGGGGGAGCTGGAAATCCTGGGGAAGGGGATTTGGGTCTGGGGGAATGGGTTTGGGTCTGGGGGTTTGGTTCTGGGGGGTACTTCTGTCAGTTTCTGGGGGGCGGGTTGGGTCTGGGGGAGCTGGAGATCCTGGGGTAGGAGCGTCCCTGGGTCTGGTAGAGTGGGTTTGGGTCTGGGGGTTTGAGTCTGGGGGTGCAGGTTTGGGTTTGGGGGTTTGGGTCTGGAGGAGCTGGAAATCCTGGGGTAGAAGGGACAAGTGCCTCTTGGTCTGGGGGTTTGGGTTTGAAGGAGTGGGTTTGGGGCTGGGGGAGGGGTTTGAAAGAATGGTTTTGGGACTGGGGGAGTGGGTTTGGGTCTGACACTAGGGGTCTGAGGGAGTGGGTTTGGGGCTGGGGGAGGGGTTTGAAAGAATGGTTTTGGGACTGGGGGAGTGGGTTTGGGTCTGACACTAGGGGTCTGAGGGAGTGGGTTTGGGGCTGGGGAAGGGGGTTTGGGGCTGGGAATGGGGGTCTGGGTGTTTGGGTCGTTTGGAGGAGTGCTGATGCCCCCGTGTCCCCCCGTGTCCCCCCGCAGATGAGCACGCTGACGCACCGGGGCCGGCGCGCCGAGGGCTCGCACAGGAAGGGGGAGGGCGAGGAGGAGGCGGCCGAGCGGGAGCCCACCGAGGAGGAGCCCGACGGCTCCAAGGACATCCGGCTGACCCTGATGGAGGAGGTGCTGCTGCTGGGGCTGAAGGACAAGGAGGTGAGGAGGGGCGAGCTGGGCTCTGGGGGGGTTGCGTGGGTGGGCTTGTGTTCGGGGGTCTCAGGGTGAGGGGAGAGGTGAGAATCTCCGTGTTTCAGAAGGCTATCATACCATATTATATCATATTATACTATATTATATTATACTATATTACTATACTAAAAAGAATAGACAGAAAGGGTCCATCAGAAGGATAGAAAAGAAAGGAATAAATAACAAAATCTTGTGGCTGCTCACAGCCTCGACACAGGTGGCTGTCATTGGTCATCAAAACAATTTCACGTGCTGGGTAACCAATTCTCCAAATCACATCCCAAAGCAGCAAAGCATGGAGAAGCTGAAGGTTCCTAGCTTCTGAGGAGGAAAGATCCTGGCAAAAGGATTTCTCATAAGATATGTCTGTGACAGGTGGGTTCTTCCCAGTGTTCTCCCTTAGAACCTGCTTGGGATCACAGGATTCACAGAGTCACGGGGCTGGGAGAGACCTTAACGATCATGGAGCCCAAGAGCTCAGCTGAGCCATGGCACTGGGTGTTGGGAGGGACTGGAGCTCTTCCAAACCCTCACCGTGGGCAGGGACACCTCCCACCATCCCAGGCTGCTCCAAGCCCTGTCCAGCCTGGCCTTGTGCACTGCCAGGGATGTGCCAGCTGCTCTGGGCTGCCTGTGCCAGGAGATGGCACCCTGAGCTGTGCATGGGGCTGACAAGGGCTGTGCCAGCTGCTCTGCCTTGGGGACAGTGGCAGGAGGTCACGGGTGCCTTGGGGACAGTGGCAGAGCAGAATTGGGGTTGTTCTCTCCGGGGCTGAAGCCATGGGGTGAAAGGAGGCTCAGCTGATTTGTCAAAGGGTGAACATCCTCCTGTGCAGCCCCAAAACAGCAGCTGAACACTGCTCTGCTCTTTAAAAATCCACGTGGGGAGGAGCAGAGCTGGGCTGGGAGCTGCAGCAGCCACAGTGGAGCAGGAGCTGCATCTCTGCTGCCTTCCTGGGCCTGGCAGGGGTGGGGATGTCCCTGCTGGGAGCTCCAGGTGTGCCTGCCACCCTGGGGGAAGGAGATCCTGGTCAAACAGAGTTGCTTTGTGCTTATCAGCTGCTGGCAACTGGTTAGTCAGCTCTGCCTGGAAGGGGAAGATGCCTGCTGTGGAGTTCTCTGAGCTGCCTGCGCCTTGACTTCAGCCCTGCTTCCTTCTCCTGCGTCAGCTCGGGGAAATCTGTGGCAGGGAGGGTGGGGAGGCCCTGGCACAGGTGGTTCCATGGCTGCCCCATCCCTGGGAGTGGCCCAGGCAGGGCTGGATGGGGCTGGGAGCAGCCCGGGGTGGTGGAACCTGTCCCTGCCCTGACAGGGAGTGGGATTCGTTGATCTTTAAAGGTCCCTTCCAACCCAGACCATTCCACAATTCTAAAATCTGCTGTTCCTGACCAGTGGATGGGGAGTTGCAGAGCAGGGGAAGCCAACCAGGTGCCCAAGGTGCTTCTTGGGGTGACAGTGGCAGAGCAGAAGCTTCTAGAAAGGCTCTCCAGCTCCAGGAAACCACTTTGGTCAAGACTGAGCTCAGTGATCCTGGAGATCTTTCCCAGCTGTGACAATTCCATGATTCCTGTGTGAGCCTGTCTCCCACCCTGAGGAGCTGGGGTGGGTGTCCTCCTCCTCCTCACCCCTCAGGGGTGCAATTAAACCTTTGTGAGGTGCCAGAACCTTCTTCCCAGCAGGGCTCTGCACTTCTGGGCTGCTCCCAGAGCTGTGCCACGGATCCAGCGCCAAGGGTCCTGGTTGAGAGCCCCAGATAAGATCTAGGAGCCAACTGAGAAGTGGCAGGAGCTCAGGGCTGTAAAGGGAACACAATGCAAATAACCCTGGAGCAAATATTTGAGAGCAGCTTTTTTTTTCCCCTGGGCTGTGTTTGGTGTTCTTGGTTAATGTATCCTGGGAACAGCCCTTGAGCCACCAGGAACCTGGGAGAGCACAACAAATAGGGGGAAAAAACCTTGTCACAATTTTATTTATTTATTTGTGTTCCATCCTGTCCTTCCACATTCCTGCAGCTCACAACCAGAGGCAGCAGCAGCCTGGCCCTGAGCTGGGCTCTGTTTTCACAGCTCGGGTGTTCACTCATGCTTTGATGACTGGGGAAAAACAAGATGATTTTTGCCAAATCCAATGAGCTCACGGTGTAATTTCATTATTTAAAGTGCCAGTCTGTCCGTGTAGGAGGACCTGGCTGCAAACCAGCCTGGCTTTTGTAACCAGTCTGATTCCAGAAGCTGGAAATAACCCAGGAGCTTTGGAACTTAAAATTTCCTAGGGGTAACCTGCCCTTGAGGCCAGGAAATTGAAACCTTTGCTCATCTTCACACCCTTTCCTGGAGAACTTGTTTGTAAAAGCCATGAGCAAAACCCAGGAAAGGAAACCAGGAGGGCAGGGATGAAAGGTTCCTTTGTCTGCCTGCACGAGGAAGTGGAGAAAGCAAATAAAAATATTCATTTCTTTTATGGTTCTCTGTGGCAAGCCCAGAGTCCAGGTGCCCTGCTCAAACAGAGCCACAGGGCATGGGAATTCAGCCCTGGGGAGGGAAAACCTTCCCTGGGGGAGGGCTGGGGGCTCCCAGCCTCTTTGCCTTGGGTTTTTCTCCAGTCTCCTGGTGGCTTTTAGGTCCTTTCCCTCCCTTTTTCCATCCAGAGAAAGAGCAGCAGGAAGGGAGGGGAAAAAGAGTGGAAAAGGAGGAAAAAAAGCAGCAGAAAAAGCAGCATAAAGGAAAGAAAAAAGAGCAGAAAGGAAGGGAAGAAAGCAGCAGAAAGGGAGGAAAGAAAGCAGCAGAAAAAGCAGTATAGAGAGAGGGAAAAAAGAGCAGAAAGGGAGGAATAAAAGAGCAGGAAAAGCAGCAGAAAGGGAGGAAAAAAAGTAGAAAGGGAGGAAAAAAAGCAGCGAAAAAGCAGCATAAAGCGAGGAAAGAAAGCAGCAGAAAGGGAGGGAAAAAGCAGCAGAAAAAGCAGTATAAAGGGAAGAAAAAAGAGCAGAAAGGAAGGGAAGAAAGCAGCAGAAAGGGAGGAAAAAGAGCAGCAGAAAAAGCAGCATAAAGGGAGGAAAGAAAGCAGCAGAAAGGGAGGAAAAAAAGCAGCGAAAAAGCAGCATAAAGCGAGGAAAGAAAGCAGCAGAAAGGGAGGGAAAAAGCAGCAGAAAAAGCAGTATAAAGGGAGGAAAAAAAGAGCAGAAAAGGAGGAAAGAAAGCAGCAGAAATAGAAGCAGAAAGGGAGGAATAAAAGAGCAGGAAAAGCAGCAGAAAGGGAGGAAAAAAGAGCAGAAGGGGAGAAAAAAAAGCAGAAATGGAGGGAAAAAAGCAGCAGAAAAAGCAGTATAAAGGGAGGAAAAAAAGAGCAGAAAAGGAGGAAAGAAAGCAGCAGAAATAGAAGCAGAAAGGGAGGAATAAAAGAGCAGGAAAAGCAGCAGAAAGGGAGGAAAAAAGTAGAAAGGGAGGGAAAAAAGCAGCAGAAAAAGCAGTATAAAGGGAGGAAAAAAGAGCAGAAAGGGAGGAAAAAAGCAGCAGAGAGGGAGGAAAAAGAGAGCAAAAAGAGCAACAGAAAGGGAAGGGAAAAGGGCAGAAAGAGCAGCAGAAAGGTGGAAATTGCCACCAGGACCCCCTTGCAGGTGTGTTGGGGTCTCCCTGCAGACCCCCCCGTGGTGGCTGTGGTCCCACTGGGGGCACCCCTCCCTTGGGCACCCCTCCAGTGCCAGCCCAGCCCCCCCTGAGCCCCGGCTGCTCCTGCCTTGCCCTGAAATCCCAGGAACAGAAGGAACAATGGGGCTTTGTTCTCCTCAGGGAATGAAAGAGGAGCTGGAGAAGGGAAGGAAAGGCCACCTGGGCTGCCCCAATGCTCCAAAGCACAGCCAGCTCTCTTGGAAAGCATCTCTGGAGTGTTCTTGAAGCTCAGGGAACAGCAAATTCCCTCCCTGCAAATTCCCTGGGCAAATTTCAGGGCAAATTGCCTCTCTGCCCTTCCCTGGGCAAATTCCTTCCCTGGAAATTCCCTCCCTGGGCAAATTCTCAGGGCAAGTTCCCTCTCTGCCCTTCCCTGGGCACATTCCCAGGGCAAATTCCATTCCCTGGGCAAAAATTCCCTCCCTGCCCTTCCCTGGGCTTTCTTGTCCAGGTTTTTTTGGGGTTTTTTTTTTCTCTCCCTGGCTGCAATTCCAGCCCAGAACTGTCCTGTGCACTCTGGAGCTTGGAGTTCTCTTTCCTTGTTGCTGCTCCTTGATGATCAGACAGGAGCAGGGAAATCTGGAAAGGTTTAGAGAGACAGGAGCAGGGAAATTTGGGAAGTTTTGGAGAGAAAGGAGCAGAGAAATCTGGGAGGGTTTGGAGAAAGAGGAACAGGAGCAGGGAAATCTGGGAAGGTTTAGAAAGATGGGGCAGGGAAATGTGGGAAGTTTTGGAGAGAAAGGAGCAGGGAAGTTTGGGAAGGTTTGGAGAAAGGAAATCTGGGAAGGTTTGGAGAGAAACCAGGAAATGGAGAGGAGCAGGAAATGTGGAAATCTGGGAAATATTGGAGAGAGGAGCAGAGAAATCTGGGAAGGTTTGGAGAGGCAGGAGCAGGAAAATTTGGGAAGCTTTGGAGATAGGAGCAGGGAAATTTGGGAAGGTTTGGAGAAAGGAGGAGGCAAATCTGGGAAGATTTGGAAGGTTTGGAGGATAGGAGCAGGGAGTTTGGGAAGGTTTGGAAAGACAGGAACAGGGAGATCTGGGAGGGTCTGGGGAGATGGGAGCAGAGACAGGAGCAGGGAAATCTGGAAATCTGGGAAAGTTCAGAAAGACAGGAGCAGGGAAATTTGGGAAGTTTTGGAGAGAGGAGCAGGGAAATATGGGAAGGTTTGTAGAGACAGGAGCAGGGAAATTTGGAAAGGTTTAGAGAGACAGGAGCGGGGAAATTTGGGAAGGGTTTGGGGAGATGGGGCAGGGAAATCTGGGAAGGTTTGGAGAGAAAGGAGCAGGGAAATCTGGGAAGGTTTACAAAGATGGGGCAGGGACATCTGGGAAAGTTTGGAGATACAGGAGTGGGGAAATTTGGGAAGGGTTTGGGGAGATGGGAGCCGAGACAGGAGCAGGGAAATTTAGGAAGGTTTAGAAAGATGGGGCAGGGAGGAGGTTTGGAGAGACAGGAGGAGGGAAATCTGGGAAGGTTTAGAAAGATGGGGCAGGGAAATCTGAGGAGGTTTGGAGAGACAGGAGGAGGGAAATCTGGAAATATGGGAAGGTTTAGAAAGATGGGGCAGGGAAATCTGGGAGGGTTTGGAGAGACAGGAGGAGGGAAATCTGGGAGGGTTTGGAGAGACAGGAGCAGGGAAATGTGGGAGCTTTGTGGAGACTCCTGGGCAGGACCCAAGCCAGCCAGGAGGGACGAGAAGCAGGAGAGAGAATTGCCCCCATTTCCTCCCCAGGGCTACACCTCGTTCTGGAACGACTGCATCTCCTCGGGGCTGCGCGGGGGCATCCTGATCGAGCTGGCCCTGCGCGGCCGCATCCGCCTGGAGCCCCTGGCCCTGAGGAGGAGGAGGCTGCTCGAGAGGAAGGTGAGCGTGGGGAGCAAGGGGAGAGGAAGGTGAGGATGGGGGGAGGAAGGTGAGCGTGGGGAGCATGGGGAGCAAGGGGAGAGGAAGGTGAGGATGGAGGAGGAAGGTGAGCATGGGGAGAGGAAGAGGGTGGGAGGAAGGTGAGGAGGGTGACGATGGGGAGAGGAAGGTGAGGATGGTGAGGGTGCTGGGAGGAGGGTGAGCAAGGTGAGTATAATATATAGTGTAATATATAATAATGATACAAAATTACAATATGATAATACTATATAATGATAATAGAATATTAAATTATTCTATCATTATAATAGTATAATGTTATATCATAATGACACAAAATGACAATGTGGCAATAGATAATATTAATAGAATATTATATTAACATATACTATTATATAATAGTATAGTATTATATAATAATGACACCAAATTACGATATGATATTATATTAATAAGATATTATATTAATATATACATATGATAAGATTATACAACAATAATAGAAAATTACAATATTATAATATTATATGATGATAATAGAATATTATATCATAATAGTATAGTATTATATAATAATGACACCAAATTACAATATGATAATATTATATTAATAAGATATTATATTAATATATATGGATAATATCTCCAAATGTCCCTCAGACCCACCAAAATCCAGCCAGGGTCACCCTCTGCAGCCAGAGCTGCAGGGTCTGGTGACTAAGGAACACCAAAAACAGAGGAGAACCCCAAAAACAGCCTCAAATCCCTCCAAAATCCCTCTCCAAATGTCCCTGAGACCTACCAAAATCTATCCAGGGTCACCCTCTGCAGCCAGAGCTGCAGATCTGGTGATTAAGGAACCCAAAACCAGCCTGGACCCTCAAATCCCTCCAAAATCCCTCTCCAGACATCCCTGAGACTCACCAAAATCCAGCCAGGCTCACCCTCTGCAGCCACAGCTGCAGGGTCTGGTGATTAAGGAACTCAAAAACAGCCTCAAATCCCTCCAAAATCCCTCTCCAGACATCCCTGAGACTCACCAAAATCCAGCCAGGTTCACCCTCTGCAGCCACAGCTGCAGGGTCTGGGGATTAAGGAACTCAAAAACAGCCTCAAATCCCTCCAAAATCCCTCTCCAGACATCCCTGAGACTCACCAAAATCCAGCCAGGTTCACCCTCTGCAGCCACAGCTGCAGGGTCTGGGGATTAAGGAACTCAAAAACAGCCTCAAATCCCTCCAAAATCCCTCTCCAGACATCCCTGAGACTCACCAAAATCCAGCCAGGTTCACCCTCTGCAGCCACAGCTGCAGGGTCTGGGGATTAAGGAACTCAAAAACAGCCTCAAATCCCTCCAAAATCCCTCTCCAGACATCCCTGAGACTCACCAAAATCCAGCCAGGTTCACCCTCTGCAGCCACAGCTGCAGGGTCTGGGGATTAAGGAACTCAAAAACAGCCTCAAATCCCTCCAAAATTCCTCTCCAGGGCTGTCCAAACATCCCTCAGACCCACCTGAATCCATCCAGGGTCACCCTGGAGATCCCTGGGGATGAGGAGAGCAGGGGAAGGTTGAATTTAGGGGCAGAGAAGAATTTTCTGGGTGGGGAGCTGGGTGGAAATCTTGGACCTCATGGCTCCTGTGGCAGGGCCTGGTGTCTGTGCAGGACACCATGGAAGGCTGGCAGGACCTTGAGACTGGGGAGCAAGCCTTGATCAGAGCCTCCCTGGCCTGGCTCTGGATCTCTGGAGATCCCTGGAGGTCCCTGGGGATGAGGAGAGCAGGGGAAGGTTGAATTTAGGGGCAGAGAGGAATTTTCTGGGGTGGGAGCTCAGTGGAAATCTTGGACCTCAGAGCCTGGTGTCCATGCGGGACATCATGGAACGGTGGAAGAACGTTGGGATTGGGAAAGAAACCTTGAGCAGAACCTCCCTGGCCTGGGTCTGGATCTCTGGAGATGAGGAGAGCAGGGGAAGGTTGAATTTGAGGGCAAAGAAGAATTTTCTGGGTTGGGAGCTGGGTGGAAATCTTGGACCGCAGAGACTGGTGTCCATGTGGGACATCATGGAAGGGTGGAAGGACGTTGGGATTGGGGAACAAACCTTGAGCAGAACCTCCCTGGCCTGGCTCTGGATCCTTGGAGGTCCCTGGAGATGAGGAGAGCAGGGGAAAGTTGAATTTGAGGGCAGAGAGGAATTTTCTGGGTTGGGAGCTGGGTGGAAATCTTGAACCTCAGAGCTCCTGTGGCAGGGCCTGGTGTCCGTGCAGGACACCATGGAAGGCTGGCAGGATGTTGGGACTGGGGAGCAAGCCTTGATCAGAGCCTCCCCCCTCAGGAGAGACCTGGAACCCCTTCAAGCTGCAGTACCAGCTGCGCAACGTGCGGGAGCGGCTGGCCAAGGCGCTGGTGGAGAAGGGCATCCTGACCACGGAGAAGCAGAACTTCCTCCTCTTCGACATGACCACGCACCCCGTCAGCAACGCCTCCGAGAAGCAGCGCCTGCTGAAGAGGCTCCAGGAGAGCGTCCTGGAGCGCTGGGTCAACGAGCCCCAGCGCATGGAGCGCAGGACTCTGGCCCTGCTGGTGCTGGCCCACGCCTCCGACGTGCTGGAGAACGTTTTCGCCAGCCTGGCCGACGACAAGTACGACCTGGCCATGAACAGGACCAAGGACCTGCTGGACATGGACCCCGAGGTGGAGGCTGCCAAAGGAAAGGGCACCGAGATGATCTGGGCCGTGCTGGCCGCCTTCAATAAGTCCTAAAAGTCCTCCTTGGTGGGTCCCCGTGCTGGGGTCACACCCAGAGGGACCTGGAGCTGCCAAAGGCAGGGACATGGAGATGACCTGGTGACCTGGGCCATGCTGGTGGCCTTCAATGAAACACTTCTCACATGGGGTGGGGAGATCCTGGATGGCTCCCATCAAGGGGACCTCACACCCCACCTGGGGTCCCATCAAGGGGACCCCTCTCCCCTAGAGGGAGCTGGAAGCTGCCAAAGCAAGGGGCACTGAGATGATCTGGGCCGTGCTGGTTGCCTTCAAGAAGTCCTAAACACTTTTCACACGGGGTGGAGGAGACCCTTGGTGGGTCCCACCGAGGAGAACCCTCTCCCCATGGGCACCTGCAGTTCCTGGGGCACAGATATGGGGATGATCTGGGCCGTGCTGGCCGCCTTCAATAAGTCCTAAAAGTTCTCCTTGGTGGGTCCCCGTGCTGGGGTCACAGCCTGGGGTCTCCCAGAGGGACCTGGAGCTGGAAGGTGCCAAAGGCAGGGGCACTGAGATGATCTGGGCCGTGCTGGTGGCCTTCAAGAAGTCCTAAACACTTTTCACATGGGGTGGAGGAGACCCTTGGTGGGTCCCATCAAGGGGAGCCCTCTCCCCATGGGCACCTGCAGTTCCTGGGGTACAGAGCTGATCTGGGCTGTGCTGGTGGCCTTCAAGAAGTCCTGAACTCCTCACCCAGGGTGGAGGTGACCCTTGGTGGGTCCCAGCAAGGAGAACCCTCTCCCCATGGGCACCTGCAGTTCCTGGGGTGCTGGGTGGGCTCAGCCTGGGGAGGGACCAGGGGATTTTTGCTTTTCCCCTCCCCAGGTAGGTGAGAACCCCCCAGCAGCAGCAGCAGCAGCACAGCCCCGAGGTGCCTCCGGGGGAGGTGGCAGCAGCTCTTTGTTCCTTGCCCTTGGGCATTTCCTTCTGAGGCCAGTGCACAGCCGGGGGTGGCACCGATGGGGGTGACAATGCCGGGGGTGACAATGCCAGGGGTGGCACAGCCGGGGGTGACAATGCCGGGGGTGGCAGTGCCAGGGGTGGCACAGCCGGAGGTGGCCCCGGAGCTGCTCCAAGAGGCCAAAGCCCGGCACAGACGGAGCTCCTGGGAGCCTCTCCCACAGCCTGGGCGCTCTGGGGTGCCCCTGAGCAGCTCACACCCTCCTGGGGTGCCCTCCTGGGCACCCACAGCCCCCCGGGCTGTGCCCCCCGTGCCTCAGCTGCTGTTCCTAGCAAGAAGAACCAAGTGAAACTGTGATTGTTTTTGTTCACAAGCCCTTTCCTTGCTTCCTCCCCCGCTCCGTTCTCCTGTAGCTCGGTTAAAGGTTCGATCTTTCTCTGAGCCCGGGCTCTGTGCGTGTTTCGGTGGGCGCCGCTGCCAGCCCCGCGATGTCCCCGGGGTGTTGGTGACACCGGTGTCCTGAGCTGCGGGCGGTCTCAGCTGATGGGTGGGGGTGAGCTCCCTCCTCCCCCACGCCCCTTTTCCTTTCCTGGGGGGGTTTTGGGGCATTTCGGTGTCCCCCGGTGCCCCGCATCCTCCCGGCCCCGGTCTCGAACCCGTGGCGCTGCGGGACCAAGGAAGCCCCGCCCCTCCCCCGCCCACTCGAGGTTTCCCGCTTTCTATTGGCCGCTGTTAATGCCAGTCATTGCTGCACCGCCCCCTCTCAGTACCCCGCCCTCAGCGCGCACTGACTGGTCAGCTGTGATGTCACTGCTGCCGCTGCTCTGCGCTCATTGGCTGGAGCTGCTGTCCGTCACGCAGCTGAGGCGGTGGAGGCGGTGGCGGCCATTTTGGAGCAGGGCGCGGGGCCGGACGCAGCGGAGGGAGCGCGGAGCTCCCCCCTCGCCGCCATGGCAGCTCCGCTCGGTACCGGCGCCTTCACGGAGGAGACCGGGCAGGAGAAACAGGTGGGGGAACCCCCGGGGGACTGAGGGGGTGTCGGGCGGGCTCCCACTGGCTCGGCTGCACGTCCATCTTTCCAGTCCTAAGCGGGGATTGGTTTGGTCTGTTGTCCGTCTGGCGAAACCGGACTCCGATTGGCTACGGCGTTGGGGTGGGCGGGACTTCCGTATTAGGCTCGATGGCGGCGTGGGGGGTGCGTGGGGTGGGACCGGG